ATCTATCTATCTATCTATCTATCTATCTATCTATCTATCTATCTATCTATCTATCTCAGGGGTTAATGTGGAGTCCTTGGTGCTGTCTGAGCTTGGTTGTTTGCTTGCAGACATTTCATTACCTGACTAGGTAACATCATCAGTGCTAGTCTGAGTGTGGGGTTTGCTCCCTGTTTATCTGCCACTGTAGCAAGCTAGTGTATATAAACAGTACAGGCAACCTACTGTATATAAACAGGGAACAAACCCCACGCTCACTAACACTGACAATGTTACTTAGTTGGGTAATGAAACATCTGCAAACAAACAACCAAGCTCAGACAGCACCAAGGACTCCACCGAATAGACTTTGTAGTTCAGTGCCATCATTCGCTGGCCTGCTGTTCCTCCTTGAAGCTCGAAAGTATCTTCTGACTTCCCATTCTTGCTGCCTGGAGTTTCTTCATGCAGCTGGATCAGCTGCAGTAAGACTGTTATCCTTCTATGATACCTTATTCTTGGGAACATTGGAAGTTGTGGGCTGGTTGGCTCATTCCTGGATTAGACATTTGGTATTGATATGTTTGGAGATTAGAGCTTATCCAACAGTTGTGGGTCTATTATTATTTTTATTTAAGATTCTACAGGTGAAACTCGAAAAATTAGAATATCGTGCAAATGTTCATTTATGTCAGTAAGGCAACTCAAAAGGTGAAACCAATATGTGAGATAGACGCATTACATGCAAAGCGAGATATGTCAAGCCTTACTTTGGTATAATTGTGATGATTATGGCGTACAGCCATGCAAAGCGAGATATGTCAAGCCTTACTTTGGTATAATTGTGATGATTATGGCGTACAGCCATGCAAAGCGAGATATGTCAAGCCTTACTTTGGTATAATTGTGATGATTATGGCGTACAGCCATGCAAAGCGAGATATGTCAAGCCTTACTTTGGTATAATTGTGATGATTATGGCGTACAGCCATGCAAAGCGAGATATGTCAAGCCTTACTTTGGTATAATTGTGATGATTATGGCGTACAGCCATGCAAAGCGAGATATGTCAAGCCTTACTTTGGTATAATTGTGATGATTATGGCGTACAGCCATGCAAAGCGAGATATGTCAAGCCTTACTTTGGTATAATTGTGATGATTATGGCGTACAGCTTATGAAAACCCCAAATTCACAATCTCAGAAAATTAGAATATTACATGACATCAATAACACAAGGATTGGAAATAGACTGTACGCCATAATCATCACAATTATACCAAAGTAAGGCTTGACATATCTCGCTTTGCATGTAATGCGTCTATCTCACATATTGGTTTCACCTTTTGAGTTGCCTTACTGACATAAATGAACATTTGCACGATATTCTAATTTTTCGAGTTTCACCTGTAAGAGCTGCTTTTGGATTAAAACCAATTTGCCACAGTATTTCTTCCTCTTTCCTGTGGTTTCAGAATACTGTTGACAGATTGATGAAAGAGAAGATGCCCAAGAAAGGTGGAAGGTGGTGGTTTTCTTGGAGGCGAAAAGAATTTTCAAATGAGGAGGTACATATATTGTAATATGGAAAGCAAACATCCCTCTATGATGTTCAGAACAAAATGTTGCAGCTGAATTGGGCTTTTTTCAGATGTATTCAACCCTAATCAAATTAGGTACTAGTATATCTCTCCTTTTATAGGCACATGGCCAAATTTGGTATCTTTGTATCCAATCCTTTGTAGCAGAGATGAGTTCCTTAGTTTAGTGAAGCCTTCAGTATTTTCATTCTGACTGGGAAATCTGGAATTTGTAATTCCAACTTATCTAGGAGACAGCAGGTGGGAGGAAGATGATTTAGTGCTTGAACAGGTATTTAAGGAATTTTAAAGATATTTTTATGTTTCCATAGCATGAAGTCAGTGCCCGGAAGTACAACAGAGTAGGCAAGAATCAGGAGGGCACTTCTCTTCAGAGGTAAGTTGTTGTGATATATCGATATTGTGTGGAATTCAGGATATCTAAGGGCATGGCTGTATTTTTAGTAAATAATTATAGTGGACACTTAGTAGTTTTGATTAAAATGTCTTAATTAAGCATGAGCGATAATATTTACGAGTACAAATCCACATATAAAACTTATCTTAACAATTTGGAAAAATAATTAGCCCTCTTTCCCCTTTTGTCCCATTGCTTGACCAGAATTTTATTTTATATATGAGGATTAATTTGTTGATTATAAGGATAGGAAGATAGAAGATTTTGCAGGAGCAGAGATTTAAGTATAGGCGGAGAATCTATTATTGCTGAATGTATTGTGTAAACATACAAGAGCACAAATAAAGCAAGTTCAACTCTTTCCTCTTAAGTATACCAGATACTTATTAATTGTTATTATTGTTAACAATATTGAAAAATGCTGTACATCTACTTCAGTTAAAATCAAAGGAATATTTTCAGTAACTTGTATATCACATAAGTTTCTCTGGGGCCTGGTTAATTGTGGGACCATCTCTCCTCAGTTGTTTCTACCCATCCTGTTAGATCTGGCAGGAGAGGGATGCTCTGGGACAGTGTTTCTCAACGTTGGCAACTTCAAGATGTGTGGACTTCAGCTCCCAGAATTCCCCACCTAGCATGCTTGAAGTTGCCAAGGTTGAAAAACACTGCTCTGGGGCCTGTCCATTAGGAGGGTCATCTTGTGGGACCCAGAAAGAGAGCCTTTTCTGTTGTGGTCCCCGCCCTCTGGAACATCATCCCCACAGACATTAGAGTTGCCCCCAACCCTGCTGGCCTTTTGTAAGGCTTTGAAGGCCTGGTTTTGTTACTAAGCTGGGGCCCTGGGGATGTGGCTGAACCCATATCATGGTTAGGTTGATTGTTGTACTGGTTGTTGTTGGTTTGTTTGTTTTTTAATGTCAGCTGCCATTTATGTTATTTATTGGTGTTTTTATTCTGTTTTTAATCATTGTTAGCCACCAAGAGTTATGTATCTGAGATGGGCAGCTTACAAATTAAAATAAGTAAATTCAGAAGGAGTCTGTAGCGCTGTTTCAGGCTAATACATTTTATTAAAAGGCATAAGCTTTTGTGAGCTGCAGCTCAGTTCATCAGATTCAAATGCAAGTTTCTCTTAAAAGTCTGAAAAAGCTCAGAGGACGTTTTGGGATTTGAATTCAGTTAATCTGCTTGCAGGTCTTTGTAACATATAATCTTTTTAAACTCTATTTCAACATGTCAATCATCAAGAATTAAGAGACTTCCAGGGAAGAAATGGGAAACTGAAGAGACTCTGTGAAAAGCAGAGCCATTAACTGTGGCAGAATGAAGAGCCGGCAAGTAGGCTGGTTCTTCATAATTCCTCTCTGGACAAGGAGAGGACTTGAGATCACCTACAAGGCAGTTGATCCTTGTGAGGAGACTACAAGATAGCGGTCTCCAGTGGGTTTAGAATTTGAGAGATGAGGGAATAACCGTTTTGCCCAAACCACAGTGAGTGCCTACAAAAGGACACTGGGTTCGCATACTTCCTTTTCTAATCACTTTTGGAAATTGCTTGTTAACTGATGTTCAGCTATTAGGAACCTTTGGATCAACCAAGTGAGTTTCCTTCAATCCTTAGCGAACTAAGTTTTAATACCAAGTTAAGGACTTAATTTTTTTCCCCCAGAATAAACAGCAAAAGGATGATTAAAACTCTGATTT